TTTTTTTTTATCATCACCCTTGTACAGGTTACATTTCCAAAGTCCAAAGCAAACCTTGCTCTCTTTAAGTAGTTATACATGTACATGTATGGCTTCCCTCCTCCTGTGATAACCTTTTCCAGTGTACAATATTGTAAACATGGTTCACATTTGAAGTTTGATTTTTTTTTTAGAACGGCTCTTCACCTTGCCTGTGCTCAAGGTAAGGAGGACATTGTAAAATTCCTCCTGGCAAACAATGCTAAGACTAATCTCTGTGACAACTATGGTCGAACACCACTCATGAAGGTAAGTGTTAACCATATAGAGTAATACAAAAATAATGTTTAGTGAAAAAGCCAATGCAGCTACCATTCATGTTCTGGAAATTACATTTTGTATCTGATTCAATCAGACCTGAATCATGCAAACCGCTGTTATTTCTTATTTGAATGAGTTATTATTTTCAAGGCAGCTTTTCCAAGGCTTAAAAATTTGCTGATAGCCATGACCTACTATGATTTACAGGGATGTTATTAAGTTTTGTGTTAACTGTAGCCATGATCTTCACACCCATAATAAACTTGTTAACAGCTACATGTACAGTATAGTCCAGTACACCCGTAACAAATCGGGCCCATCAAACATACTCAGCTGTAGTAGATATTATTGACATCCCTGGTTTAACTGCATGTATAAGGCCCAGTTTTCTCTTTTTAAATATTAACTATATCATTTATAAGGCACAGACTTCCATATCATGCTTAATCATGCATAATATTAATATAGATTTACATGTAGGCAAGCCTAAAAGCAGAGCTCTTGGTTGCAATAATCAACCATAAAGCAAAAAGAGGATTTGTTTTTCTTGAATCAGACACCTAAAAAATGATCAATAATGTGAGCATGTAATCGTGAACTCAGCCTGTGGTTTCACTATTTTGTCCGGTTAAATTTTCACAAACTATACCCAAAAAGTGTAGCCAAGATTGTAGAAATTACATATGCAATATATCAGGGAATTTCCAAGAGATGATATACATGAATGCTTAGTCATGCATAGAAATTAAAAATTATTAACTATATCAAGGATTGTGTGCCCTATTCTAATAATAATAATAATAATAATAATAATAATAATAATAATAATAATATAATTATGGCTAATTAAGTAATATTTAAATCGTTTACTGTTTTTTGCACAGGTGGTAGAATGTCAGTTCTTGGAGTGTATTAGAATTTTGCTGGATCATGGAGCTCAGGCAAATGTTGTGGATGTCAATAACAGCACATCGCTTCATCTTGCTGCAGCTAATGGCGACATTGATGCTGCTGTGCTTTTGTTAGAAAGAGAAGCTAAAGTTGATGCCAAAGACAAGGTACTTTGATTTTAAATATTACAATAAATGTTAAAACTGCCAAACTGTCTGCAAGCACACACCAGTATGTGATCTGTAAGCAGCTGCTTAGTAGAGGCGTTTGCTTACATGTATAAGAGGTGAAAATCAAGTTTTTTTGTATGTCGCTGTTGGTGTTGTAAAGTACGTACGTGTCCTGTTAACAAAGGTTTGTAACCAGATTTTGGTGACCCATTTGTGGTTGGGTTAATTGTAGTTTGAATGTGTTCAGTTTTATAATATTTTAAAAGTTACCCTTGGCTGTATTTTTTCACAGGAAGGTTTTACTCCTCTCCATGTGTCATCATCACTCGGAAACTTAGACTTTGTCAATTTTCTGATCAACGAAGGAGCAAAGATTGATGAAGTTGATGCTCATGGAAGGTGGGTTGGGCTATGTGCATTTTCTTATTGTCCCACGGCGTGACTTCACATGATCAGATCTCCAAGAGTTTTTAAAAAGGTTTTTGCAGGATCAAGCTCAAAATTGTAACTTACTACTCAGTGCAAAAATTCTACAGAGATCTTTGATTTGCAAGGTTCTAGTAAAGGTCCTTGAAATATAATTGTAAGATCTGCAAAATCAAGAATTTACTCCATGATTTTTGCATAATTCTTATCAAATCTGGGAAAATCCTTTTTAAGTATTGATGTATGACTTTGTACACCTTCTGTAAATTAATTATAATTACAGTATCACTACCAGTGGAATTCCAATTTCTCAGACCCTCAATTTTTTAAACCTCCTGATAGCTCAAACCAAAAGCTGTTTTATTCTCCCCAGTTGAACTCTGTAATTTTACCCCTGATTTTTCAAACCAGTACTTTGAATTGGATGTTTGGAAAATCATGATTCTACTGTACAGTATATTTGTCAGTAATGACTGCTTCTTATGCTTTCAAGGTCAGCGTTGATGACAGCCGCTAGTGAGGGACACATTAGTATAGTTCGACTTTTCCTTCAGCATAATGCAAACACTGAACTAAAAGACTCCCAGGGATGGAAGGCTTCAGACCATGCTGTCATTCACGGACACCACAGGTTAGGCAGACATGATTTTTTTTGACACAGGGATACCACTTCAAAGTGGAGGTGTTGTTGCCTTATGGTTGGTGAACCCCACTCTTGATCGAGCGGTCTGGGTTCGAATGTGGGTCTGGATTTGGCCTGAACCCTGAGGCTTATTCTTACTTGAATGTATTTTCTCCTAAACTTGACACTAGAACATGTTGAAGACTCTCAGTGCGAATGGGAAAAAAAACTTGCAATTTACATGTAATACAGGCAGCAAACATAATTTTTTTTCCAATATTATTTATTTCTTAACAGTGTTTCAAATATCATTGAAGAGTATGAAGAACAACAAGAAAGAGCAAGAAATCAGGTGAAGAACACAAAATCAAATCAGTCTACACCCAATAAGAGAGTGGATTTCACTGGATTGCTAGGAACTGGAACAACAACTAATGACGTGGACTTCTCATTTGGAGGACCTGTCGCAGATGAGGGAGGTATGTAACAACATTGTACAGAAACCAGTTAGGCCTCAGGTTCACACTAGCAACATGGCAACATCATGACAAATTTAAAACATCATTAAATAGCTCATTTCAGGAAATAAATGTACAAAGTAAAACTGTTATGTAAACATCAAACATAAAGACATAAAGTGTGTAAAAAGTTTTTTCCTTATGTCGTTATAATGTTCATGCTGTTATGTTGCTGTTGTGTCATTGTGTCAGGAAGTTCACACTGCAAATGTAACTTAGAGTATCATGTCCTTCTTGCATGTATGTAAAATTTTATGTTTATGCCCTTACAGTGTGTTGCTAAATGTGAACTACAGTAGGCTTAACTGTCAATATGCAGTAATTACAAGCAATGCACATGTTGATATTTTGTTAAAAATATATGAAGGGACTGTGACTTTTAACATTTTAGCTGGTTTAATAAAAGATATCTGGTAAATAATTCTATCTCGTCCCCAGTCTTAGTCACTCCATAGTCACATGAGAGAGCATGCGCATGCGATCAGTCAGTTGCAATCGTGTTCTTTCAATCGGTCGGACGCAAAATTTTCACCTCTTCGAATAACTTCCTACAGTACTACTGTTTATTCCTCACAAAAATGTGATTAATTTATTTTCTACTTACATGTACATGTACATGTAACCTGTAAAAATACTCTTTAAGCAAAGACATTTTTATTGTCGTTGGTCAAATCACATTTCACAAAATTGTTGTTGTGCCCTCCTTTTAGCATCATTTAATTTTCATCATTTTGTGGAGAGCAGTTTTGAATTATTTTGTTTTTTATGATTATTGACAATAAAGTTTCCAGTTACTTGTGATAATATGTAATTGTTCTTGGCTACATGTAATCTTACGCAGCTTGTTTCGTTCCGGCCAAGGGATTGTAATCATGATAATTTAAATGTGATAACTATTAGTATTTTTCCTGTTCTGTAGGTTATAATAGTGCTTCAGCAAAGGAAGAGGATTCTGTCAGTCAGTAAGTACATGTAATCAAGATGATCATTGCTGTGTAAATTGAGTCACAAAACACCACCTTTGCTAATTACATGTAGTCATATTATGATTAATAGCATTTTGCATTCATGACATATAATTGTAAGTTTTACTTGTCAAAACGTGTAAAATTCAATGTTGGGATTCAAACAGCAGATTACAAAAATATGATTGTAGACTAAATTTGGGAGTCTCGATACCCAATAAGTTTTCTTAATTAAATCAGGCAGCTGAAATACATGTAAAATTGACAAATCCTAAGAGATATATTAACCGTAATAACATAATTTTCATCAAGAGAACCAGTTATTAGATGAATAATTTTAGCGGTAATCAAGAACATCTTTTAAGTAGTGAGCTTTAATTAAAATTTCAGCATGTATGTTAATTTATACCAACTTTGTGGTTGAATTAATTATTTATTTGATGTTGAGCATTATGTAGGCAGGTGTAATTGACTGTAAGCTGACACAAGTGACAACTGCAACATAATTTAAATTTTAAAACATTATAAAACCACCTGCATGTATTGAATGCTAATTCATGGCTTGGTTCTTGCTGAATATTACTAATCTTGATGTTGAAAACCATAAAATTAATAAGGTTTTGTTAACATAATTTTTGAGGAAACCTTTGAATATAGGAGACTGATAACCACATTAGGGTTCAACTGAAGTAGATACCTGCTCCAAGTAGGTTGAATGGAATTTGGATCAGTTAATATTCATTGTACACTGCTAGGTGGTGTCAACATAATTTTTGTGCATGTTTACATGTAGGTGAAGCTTATTTGTTGTGTAGTGTTTATTATTTTAATGGCATAGTCACACTGCCATGATACTCTGTCGAATGTTTGTGCCTTGCAAAGCTATCAAGTGCACTTTCATCCCTTAATTGATTCATGTACATCTTAAGTTGTAGGACAAGATTCACAAGATTTGTGTTTGTAGACTGTATTAAAAAAATGTTAAGACTAAATTTGAAGACACCTTGATGCGAATTTTAACTTTTACAGTCTTGAGTAACAAACACCAAAAACTCAACTATGAATTCACTGTTTAAAAAACCGTTGAAATTCATATTACCTTAAACTTCCAAAAGAAATGACCCCCTAAAAGTGGCGACCCTCTCAAAAGTAACACAAAAAAATTGTGGCCGCTAATAAATCCTAAAAGTAGCGACCCCTCTTGAAAGTAGTGAGCCTTCCCCCAACCCCTGTGTACACCTAACCGATAGTTTTCTCTTTCAGCCATTCAGGAGGAGATTCATGGGATTCTTCTGGTGATGAGGATGACAACATGTTCCAATCAAAAGCAAAGGTATAATCCCTTTTTGTCTTTTTTCCTATGCTGTACATAGTAGGCTCCCATGCACTGCTGCACCAGTGGGGAAACCATGACAGATGATCTGCTCTGCCACAAGCGGCAACTATCGTCAGTGGCTTCTCTGTGCTCATGCGGCAGCACATTAGGCTATGCTCTACACTGCTTAGTTGCAATGCAATCATTGTCACGCGTTCTTTATGCAATCACATCCTAACCATATAGCCAACATCACTTTCAATTGCGTTTTGTGTCACTGATTAGAAACAGTTCTTTGTCGAGTAGGACACTTTCTTACAACCATCTGGTTAGACAACTGACATTACTGTTTTGTGTTTTTTGTTGTCAGCCGACTTCAGCAAAGCCCAGTTTATTGGCGGCACTTAACAAGTCTCCTCAACAAGTCACTAGGTCAGCTTCAGACGTGTCCACTAATAGTGCCAAATGTAAGTATCAAGATACAAACTCTCCTTACACTTGTCCTGTAGGGGATATTGGTGTTTGGTTTTGCACTCAAACAGTGTGTGGAAAATCATTTCTTTAATGGTCTGAAGAAAGGACAAGTTTGAAGTGGTCCATTCAACACCATGTACCCCCACCCCCTCCCCCTACCCGGGTGATTGGCTCCAATATTCTTACAACCACTGCATCCCTGATTTTGAGAGGAAAGCTGTTGATCTCATTAAGACTGAGGTTTTAAACCGTTTTATAAATGGCCTATTCGACAAAAATAATAATGAGAAGTACTTTTACTGGATATGCTTTTAATAAAGTTGTAAAAAATGTCAAGCAATTCACAACTTTGTAATAACCGTCAGGGTTGTCACAAAGTTTAGAAGTAGGCGGCTTTATTGTATGAGTGGGCGATTTATTTTGCCATCTTTTTGTAAGAATCAGACCAGTAGCTCAGCAGTTTAGCCTGCCGAGATTACAAAATGAATCACAAAGTACATGGGGATTTTAACCAGCAGCTGGCTTTTTATGACAACTGGTTTACTTTTAGCTTCCCTTTGTGCTTGTGTTGTGTTCTTGGGCAAGACACTTTACTCTCACAGTGCCTCTCTCCACCCAGGCGTACAAATGGGTACCAGCGAATTTAATGCTGGGGGTAGCCCTGTGATGGACTAGCATCCTATCGGGAGGGGGGGGGGGGCTGCATAAATACTCCTAGTCGCTTTGTAGTACGGAAACTGGAGATAGGTGCCGGCCTGATGGGCCACAGGCACTTAGCTCGTATGCAGACTTTACCTTGTGCTTAGCTTTAACAACTGGCCTCTTTTTTGACATCATTGCTTTTACATGGATGGTTTTGTTTTCTCCTCTCCAGCGGCTAGTCGAATTCCAGTCAAATCATCCCTTGTCAAGTCAGAGCCTAACCCTGTTCAAGGTAGGAATGTTGATTCATGAATATTATCTCTCATAACTTTTTTTTTCCTTTTTTTATAAAAGTGTTCTTATTTTCTTGATAGAATCCAAACCAACATCCCGTGACACCAGTGCCCAGTCACGCATCCCTGTCTTGACAGGTGAGACCCAGTCCCTCTCTCCTGCCAAGAAGCCATCAGTGACTGGCACTAGCCCCACCACCTCTGAGCAGAGCACACCGACCAAGAGAAAACTACCAATTCCAGGGGGAGTGGGCCAGGCTGTAAAGGAAGCTCCTCAAACCAGGACAGTTCAGAAAGAGGAAAATAGACCTCAGTTTTTGCCGAGCGTGACTGCTGAGGATCAAGACTCTGAGGTTTGTTACGTTTAAACTCTCTTTACGGATTCTTATAAATTTCTTTTGATATAAGTCTGGAGAATTCGGTTGTATATCAAAACAGGATACCCTAGCTGATGGTTTTCTATTTTCTTGTTACCCGTCTGACTGACACTGTAGAATGTTATTGTGAAAAGTTAACACTTCATTCACATGGTTTATCGTTTTCATTTCGTTTATTTTACACACTCGTACTTTTGCTGTAACCTTAAATTTTCAAGATTTGTTTAATCCAAGTCACGCGAGACGCAATAAAAAAGCCGCCTTTCTATTACCCCCTAAAATCTACCAAAAACATGCGTTCAACATTCAGAGGAACAAAAAATTACTAAGCAGGGGGAGGTAGGGAAGAGCGCAATGGCCTTCATTGAACATGCGTGATACACGGCCGGTTAGGAGTCCAATCTCATTCCAAGAGCCCGCGCGTTTTTGTTGAGCGGTGACGGAACGCGCGACGCTTTGGACGAAATCAAAGACCGGAACCAGAAAATCCTGGTACAGGTCCCCGTTGTATTGTTTACGGGCTTTAACTGAGAGCTATGCTGGCTCACCTTCCCATTTCTCCCAGAGGTCTCGATTTCTTATTGCTAAAAAAGAGAGGTCGTTGGATTAAAGCACTCGAATTCTAGAAAACTGACTAGAATTTTTATCTGCATATATTTTTTTTTCTGTAGGATGGAGTCTCCGACACAGATGTCCTTGCTGCGTTAAGTGGTGGAAATAATAAGGTTAGTGTACTTAGAAAATCATGCGAGGGTGCCACCCTCGCAAATATACCATGTAGAACTAGACTATAAATCAGTCTGTGTGTCTCTCAGGGCAACAAAGTGCCAGGCGTGGATGAGTGGGAAGCGCGAAGCTCACGCGCGAGTCTTCGCAAACTCGCAGTCACGCCCGTTCTCAGATCATTTTCGAGAGATGCGTCATGAATGAACTTTTGATAAAATACGGACTGTTAAGCGGTCTAAATTAAAACAAGATTGGCACGAATCAATGAATTAAAAATACTGCACATGTAGATTAATAGAAATAAATGGATACATCACAGTGGCAAAATCTGCTCATGGAAGCTCTCCAAGTTAATAAAACTTGTCCGGAAAAGTTTAGCTTCCTTCTACTTTGTCATGGGATTAGGGAGGGGAGGGAGGGAGGATGGTTAAGAGTGGAGAGGTCTGGGTGAGATTATGAATGGCAAACTTGAAATATTTAGATATCGGACAGTGTTTACTTCTACTTGTTGAGATTATGCGTCACATTCTGGACTCGCCGAATAATAGTAACAATGATGCTGGTGAATATTGATGTGTTCTTTTTTCAGTTGTCAAAACCACAAACGGACCTGAAGACACCAGCGAAACAGAATGGTATGAACATTAAGCTTAAATTAAGAGAAGACAAAAACCAACCAGTGTTTTTGTTAATGAACGTATGTAATTATAAAACTGGCACGAACGAATGCAAGAGAGAACAAACGAGCGAGTGAAAGAGCGAACGAAGGAACGACAGAATGAACGAACGAACGAACGAAGGACCGATCAAAGGACAGAACTAACGAACGAACAATCTAACGAACAAACAAAAAAAAAAAACTGAACAAAACCAACGAATGATTGGAATCAATGAATGGATCAGTAACCCAAAGAACGAACCAGGAGCGATTGATTGACTGATTGATTTTGTTATATTTTGTGATCAACAGAGAACACTCTGGACCTTAGTCTGACATCAAGCGGTGGAGAGGAAAATGACGACGAAGACCTGTCCTTCAGTGAACCTCCACTTGATGACGAGGACGACGAACCGCTGACCAGGCCTAGTTCTGGGTTTTCGCCTTCTCCCCAACCGCTAACATCCACACAGAAACCTCAAGGTCAAAAGCTGGACGACAAGAAAACTGACCAGAAACAAACTGGTACGATACAAAGTATCTCTCGTGTGCACTCTGGGCCAGGTTGACTGTGTTTCCTTCTTGGGAATGACAATTTACTCTTAACAGTTTTCCCTCCACTTTCGTAGTGGCCTGCGTTGCAGGCTACTTTTGTAGTGGTCAAGCGCTAATCCCATACCACTTCCGTTTTTCGTTGCCTCGAGTTTTGTAAGAGTCTGAAGAGAATATATGCGAGGTGTTTGCAGGAAAACTTTCTGCAAGAAAACTGTATAAAAAGAGCAGAGACAAACTAAATTACGAGCCAGGGCCGGGTTGTTGGAAAGTCGGTTAACGCTAACGGTAAAAAAAAAAAAAACAGAATTAAGAGTTAACCGAGGTATTAATTTTTGTTGTATGAAAATGATTCTCACTGCTTATGTTTTGTGTAGTTTGAGATTATTCAAACTCAAAAGTGAAGGAAAAACAAGATAAACAGAAAACTTAGGCAATTTTACAAAAATCGTCAAGTCAAATCGGGCTTTAAACAACCCGGCCCAGGTGATTAACAGTTATTAAATTCCCAGTGCATTTGCAGGCGAACAGAGCTGAACTTATTTCTTACGATCTTAGCTATCGTCTTGAAAATGACAGTTGAGACCTTCAATGGCGGCCGTTTTGGCGGGAACTACGCGTGAAGTACGTTGACTACTGCACTTCCTCCCCCGCCCCCTCCCCGTTCACCCCTCCGGGAGTATAGTTGGATAACAGCAAACTGTATTGGGAAGCTTAGCAAAATGCAGAGAGACCTGTTCTGGATAAGGGGTTTCTATGGACAAAGGAAGTAGCAAGACCTCTTGTTCCTTTATGTTACTCAAACAAGTGTCAAGAGTCAGCACCATTGTGTCATGAGAATCTGGCTCCAAAGGTCCTCAGAACAGTACTCAGAGCTTAAAATTTACATTTTCTTTTCAGTTCCTCCAAAGCTGGATTTAGATCTTGGCAGCACAGTAAGCTCCGTGTCCGATCCAGACCTCAGTGGCACCTCAAATAAAGACACCGCCAAAAAAGGCCAACAGCAGGAAGCTGGTAAACTGAACGAACCTGCTAAACCTGCTGACGGAAGTCAAAGTGAAGGTAAATTTTTCTAAAACGCTCGAACCGCGGGACTTGTCACGTGATTCTTATCGCATGCGATTGGCTAAGAAGGTCGTCCCGCGCGGTGATTGGCGGGGGCACGTTGCAGATGAATTTATTAGCAGATATAAAGCTTAGCAAGGACAAAACCAAACCTAAAACTTTGGATGTGGGCAATCGTTCGCCAAGATCTCTTGCACTCTTACCACATTGAGTCAATTTGCTATCTTACCATTTCATTTTCAATTAACTTCACACTTGGCTCGGCTGCTAATAATTCTTTTCTTTACACAGATGAATCAGCTTGGGACAGCTCGGATGCGGTAAGCCATATTTTTGCTATATTTTTTTTCTCTAAATAACTACATTAGTAAACTGTTCTTATCATAGTCACTCAATAAAATAATGGATTAACTTTGGAGGTCTCTGGGCCTACATTGTAACTCCTTTATGTTGGCTTACTTATTTCTTGGCCAATCAGAAGCCGAGTTAGTCTGGCAGTTAGAGGCATCAAAGTAGTCACGGGTCACAAATTTCATGTGCAGTTGTTTTTGTCTTTCATTGTCTGAGGAGATTGGGAAGCTAACAAACCAAACTCTAGACTTTGTTTGCCTTTAGAGGACTGCGCAAAGCGCTGGTGTCAAATTATTAGTTACCATAAGAAAGATTGTTTGATATTTAGAATTAGGCCAAGTGTATATTTAGAATTACGACAAGTGTATGGTTTGGTTACGGTCCGTTTAATGCTATTGTTGCTATACGGGTCGGAATGCTTTCATCTTATCTGCCAGATACCCTGCTTGTGGGCCACAAAATGGTAACAAAGGAAGAATTTAACAACGGTTCCAACAATTTCCAACACTAGGGTGCACCTCTTTGTAAATAGACAGTCGAGCACTATTTCGTTGTCGGAACTGTGCTCAACGATTTGATGACCGCGCGCTCGGCAGTAGTCGGAAGCTGGGAGGAGCCGCCGAACATATGATTGACGGTAGCGAAAAACGCATTTGTCGGATGAGCTTTGAATTGTAGAGTCCGCATGTTATAGAAAGGGGGAGTGATAATGTAGTTGGTTTTTCCTCATACAACCATCCACTTTGTCGTGCTTTTACTCGCATTTTGAGAAAAAAAAAAATGGCACATAGCCGCTCGAGTTCGTTATCTTTGTTTTCGTTTGTGAGCTTGACCTGCAACGTTTTACGAACTTCAGTTACAGTGATGACACTCGCACCATGAACACTTCTTTTACAATGGCTCTTTTTGCAAGCAAAAGCATCAGCGTTTTCCACTGCAGATCCTTTGGTTTTTATGAAGGGTTCTCGTTGGTTATCATCCAAAAAAAGATACACCAAAAATTGTCGACTGCTCATGCTTCGAGTGTCCTCACTTACCTTTCTTGTCCAAACTAATTCATAGTTTAGGATACAGTTATGTCCCTAACGATAAAATAATCTTCCTTTATTCCCAAGGATCTTCTTCCTTCCGATGGTCCCGATACCACAAGAGGCAGTAGCTTATTTGGAACTAGAAGCCCACCTCCTACCAACACGCCCGGAGATATCAAAGCTGAGAAAAAGACTGCTCCCTCCCCGCGTAAGAGTGGTGCGAACGACAGCGATTCCGAAGCCACAGAAACGGAGAGCGAGTGGGAGAAAGAGAGAGCGTTGCAAAAAGCGAAGGGCAAGTTGTCTCAAAGTGCTGGAGGAAAAGGTGAGGACGAGGAGAAGGAAAAGCAGAGGATGTTGAAATGGGAGCAGGAACGAAAAGAAAAAGAAGAAGCTCTCGCTAGAGAGCTGCAGGCAGAGTTAGAGTTAGAAATGGAGATGGAACGAAAAGAACGAGAGGATGACGAAAGGAGGAGAAGACAGGCAGAGGAAGAGAATGAGAGGAGGCGAAAAGAAGAGGAGGAAAACGAGCGAAGGAGAAGAGCAGAAGAAGAGAACGAGAGGAAGAGACGAGAAGAAGAGAAACGCGAGAGGGAAAGACAAGAAGAGGAAAGACTGCGAAGAGAACAGGAAGAAATAAGGAGACGTGAGAAGGAAAGAGAAGAACGAGAGAAAGAAGAGAAGCTAGAACGTGAGCTGCAACAGAAAGAAGAGGAAAGACTCCAGTTGGAACGTCAACAACAAGAAGAACGTCGGAAACGAGAAGAAGAATTGCAAAGGATTAAAGAGCAGAATGAGCAAGAGTTGCGTATGTTTGAGCTTCAGAAAGAACAAGAACTCGAGAGGCAGAGGAGGCTAAAGGAAGAAGAAATGGAGCGACAGAAGAGAGAGTATGAGGAAAGATTAGAAAGGGAGCGAATAGCGATGGAAGAACAGAGAGCGAAGGAAGCTGAAGAACTACTTCAGAAGCAGAGAACAGCTGACGAAGAAGCAGATCTGCTGCTTCAGGCCTATCGGCAAAAACAGGAAGAGTTATTGGAGAAGGAACGCCGGTTCGAGGAAGAGATGATACGGCGCGAAAGGGAACTGGAGGAGCGAAACAAACAAGCGGAGAGAAATCCGGAAGTGGAAGTCGTGACTGTTGAGAAGAAGGATCTGTCGCTCTCTTCTATGCCGTTGGGAGGTGACTTGGAGCACTCCAAGGAGCTGGAAGAACTGGAGGAGTGGAAGAGGATGTACGAGATGAATGTAGAAAAGGAAAAGACAGCTTTGGAGGATGCTGTCAGGAAGAGGAAGGAAGAGGAACAGAAGGCCGAAGAGGCTGCGGCTAAACTGCGACAGATTCAACAGGAAGAGGAGTTGAAGCGGATCGAGGGAGCGCTACGTCACAGGCGCCAAGGAGAGGAGGTGAAGGAAGCGGAGAGGAAGCTCAAGAGGCTGGAGGTCGAGGAACAGGCTGTACAGACCAAGAAAGGTAAGCTGTAGTTTGAGGTTAAGTTAGCTGTTAATTTTACTCCTTGTCCTTGGCTCGACCCTTAAGTCTTACAATGTATTTGAGTCTTTGGATGAAACCCTCGTGTGTGACCATTCAAATGAAAGCTATTGAGCAGTACTTTCATGTGGTACTGTTTATTATGCTGTACAAGGTGGTTCTAACTTTTAAATGAAAACCTATGCTCTTCAAGATCGCTGTTACTTGTAAACATGCACAGTGTATAGTTGGCCTACGAACTCTATTGGGTGTCCTGTGCTCTAGAGTCCACATCTTAGCACAACTGGGTCATTGTTTTCGTTTTGTAGTTAACGTAGAGTGAGATATCAATTATCTTTGCTTTGTATGCTAAAGACGTGACGTTTGGCTGTCTGTCTTGTTGATACTTGTTGATAACGCCGGTTCATTTAAATAAATTTACATCTCCAAGAACTCTGTTTACGAATTTCACGGGTGACCGAACTTATCGTTTACAGTACCTCGCAAAACAGTACAGCGAAGCGAAAGCAGAGGAAATTAAATTTGAACTCAAGTGAAAAGAAATCATGAGGAGTTAGGTTTCAGGAGAGTGTATCTTTCAAGTTTACAAACGTCTCAAAGTTTCTTAATGAACACTGCAGCGTTTGGCCGCTGTGCTATTCTGCTCGTGCAAAGAGCTTTCGGTGATTTCATGTTTTGTCGATCTTGTTCATTTTGGTGTAACTGTTTTCACAAAATGTGGGGTTCTCGTTTGATTATCAGCGGCCCCGTTTAAGGTAAGCGGACATCTTAAACGATGAATGACAGTTCTTTAAGCTTTGACGCCTAGGCCTACCATGCATGATGTACGGTAGTTACAGTAAGAGTGTTTAGGTTCGATGAATTTATTACCTAGCCTACAACCGAATGCCTTTTCAAGCGAGAGTATGGGTTTTCAGGAAACTTATGCTCGCGTTGTTGGTTTTATGGAATTCAAATTTTACATAAATAATCGATTAAGTGAAAAGCATCTCTTTGGCGGACAGATGCCATGAGGTTGTCCTTAATCCTTCGGAAAACAAAAAAAAAACACACATTTTAATCGCGATGTGTTTGCCTTGTGTTACAGCAGTGTTTTATTAAACTGTAACGTTTTTTGAAGCTCAAAAATAGAACTCGTCGAGGTTTATGTTTTGAACTCTAGTTATAGTTTTCGCTGAGCGTTTTTAATCCATAAATTGGGCAATTGCTTTCTTGTTTTTTTTTCTCTATTAATACAGTTTTGGAGGATATTTTAGTTTAACAAATCTTTGCATTTTTGGAGGTTTTAAAGGCAGTTAGTAAGTAATTTGGCTATGCGTTTGTTCTGTAACTAATTCTGGGTAGCGAGAACTTGCGTAAAGAAACTTTACTCGTTTTCTTGTCTTTGTAATATGTAAATGACTTATTTTATTGTGTTATCAGTCTCGATACCTGTATTGTTTGTTGTAATCTTATTAATCTTCTCCACAAAGGAGGCTTCAAATAGAAAAACGTTTGCCGTAGCGAAAGACTCCTAAAGTAACAAAAGTGGTACGCATAGGTTCAAAATTTAGCACTGGCCTGTAAAAAGTTATTATTATTTTTGCCGTCCAAGCTTCTCGGTCTTACTTCATAGACCTATTAATTAATAAGCAAGTAGCTCCCTGGGTTGAAAATGTTAAGAAATCTTAAAAGAGTTGCTTAGTTGTCGTCTGCAAAACAAGAACGTGAAATCACCATTCGTGCGTTTTTTTTTAGAAAATGCGATGGTAGGCGAATTTTCTTACAGATGTACTCTCTTTTTTGCATATGAGCATTTTCGATTAGTCAGCTTTAAGAAAGGTAGTTTTAATACGGAGAAACAAACTAAATGGATCAACAAAATCGCGGAAAATTCATGACGATGTTCACGCTGGGCATCTCATCATTTAATTCCTAAATTCTCCAAACCATTTTGTAAGACAAACAAGTTGAAGGTTCTGAGAACTAAGGACTACATCATCAGGACGGACGTCCCGATTTTAAAACGAATTCTTCTTAAGGAGAATTATAAAATTTTTTGATAAGCTGTAACGAGAATTTTGTTTTTGATCTTCACAGAAATCGAGCAACTGCAGGTGAAGGACCTGGAAAGTCAAAAGAGTCGCTTAGACCAAGAAGCTAGTGCTAAGCTGGCTGAGCTGAATAACAGGTAACGACAGCTCTTGTGAAATAATTTTTGGCAAATAGGAGAACTGTGATAACGGATTTGTTTGCTAAAAGAAGGTCGTAGCTTTTTACCGGATTGTCAATGATTGTCTTAACATCAAAACCTTAAACTAAATTTAGCCAATCATAACAAAGGCAAACAACGCGTCGAACCAATCAGAATTTGAGGACAAGACATGCAACACGTACCAAGCGCGGGAAAACATGTAGCCGGCGCCAAACGCGGGAAAGCATGTAACCGTTGCTAAGCACGGGAAAACATGTAAGCGTTGCCAAGCGCGGGAAAACATGTAACCGGCGCCAAACGCGGGAAAACATGTAACCGTTGCTAAGCGCGGAAAACATGAAACCGTTGCTAAGCGCGGAAAACATGTAACCGGTGCCAAACGCGGGAAAACATGTAACTGGTGCTTAGCGCGAGAAAACTTGTAACTCGCTGCTAAGCGCGGAAAACAGGTAACCGGTCAGTCAACCAGAAAGAGAAATATAGCTCGCAAATTAAAAGCAACACAGTCAAAATTTTATAGTTCATTCCTTGAAGTTTGTATGAACTTGCGAGTCTAGGAGAGGACTCGTAAATGCAGAATTCGGTTGCGCCTTGACCGAATACCGTCTCGAACATTTGATTGAGCCCGCGAGTTTAGTTTGAGAGGTTGCTGCGCAACGTGTTGTGCCTTGTTGACGTAAAGCTGACGCCACAACTGGCGAAGTATGAAAGAATGGTTGAATGGTTGCAGTGACAGGAACAAATTCACCAGGGAGAAATTAAGATAGTTTTTCGTGTGAAATCTCGTTCACTTTCTAATTGCCGCCAAAATTCTGCTGCTTGTTAAACAGGCATCGTCGAGCGGAACTTGAACAGAAATCGCGCCAAATACTTGAAGAGCGAGATCAGTTGAGCGCCACGTTCGAGGCGACGCGACAGAGGACCACTGAGTTGAACCAAGCACCTCAAGTTGCTTTACTGTCCCCAGACAAACGCCTCAGCGTCGTCAGCTTAGCGAGCGGACCACGTGACCAGGGTGAAACTGGCAGCAGGTAGGACTGGGGCGGGAACTACTGATGGTTTTCTTTTTGTTTGTCACGCAACACCCATATACGTCACGAATATTGTTCTCAACCCAACGTTGAAGAGGAATCTTGCGTTAAAGTTTAAAAAGAATACTGCGACGAAGATCTGGAGTACTTGCTAAGCATTGGTTTTATTCAGTTGGGGAAACAAGTGGTATTTTGGCAAGTTAGCAAATTGATGCCAGTTTTTCATGCGTCTGTCCTGTTATTGATCATGAATTTCGTCATAACATTGTCAAAGTAGCTGTGGATCGCCGAGTGGATCCGCAGACAACTTTGACAATGTTATGACGAAATTCATTGTCAATAACAGGACAGACCCATGAAAAACTGACGTCAATTTGTTTTCTTACGATAACAAATTGTCAAATTGTCCGCTTTCGCTCGCTGACGCGTCGCACAAATTATAAATTAATGTGTCTGTCCGCTTATTGACAATGAAAATTAGCCAATGAGCGCGCAAGAATTTCTGCAGTTATCGTAAAATCTTATTTGGAGCACTCGTGGTTTCCAATACGATCAAAGAAAAGCGTGCGCCCTCGAGCTTTGCCCGAAAGTTGTCACGTTATCGAGTCGCAATCAGTTGCTCAGCAACTTCGAGACGAAAACTGCGGGCTCAATCCAGTCTCGGACACCGGAATTCACAATCTACTGTGACTTGCTTCCCCAGCTGTGTTGTAAAATTTCGATTTAAAAAGTTAAGCTCGATTCTGGAAAATCTGCGCAACTGTATTCTTATTATATACTAAGGGCAAGTCATCTCTCCATCTCTACCGATTCAAGAAGATTTTTTCTAATTACTGTTTTCAACAAAGATCTCACTCCACTCGGTTACCGTAAAATATTTCCGGAAGGGGGAAGGGTAAGGGAGCTATCTTAAATGGATATATCACTCCAAGGGAGTAAAACACTTCTTGTTACAGATAGCGTGGTTGCGCAGGTTCAATGTCGGCTGTTTTTAGCTAGTAAGCGGAGAACGGTTCACTGGAAGTCATGTATCCCTATTTTTGTCCCGAAGGAATCCTGGTCCTGGACACGATATGAAAGACAAGGACAAACCTGACGGACAGGTATGTGAAGGAGAGTCAATTATTTCAGTAGCGTTGTACAGAATTGCCTTCAAATCGAACCTAAGAAACTCTAGTTTGCTCAGGTAGGGGAACACCAGGGAAGTCATAATAAAAACCAAAAGGGAGGATTGTTAAGATTGGGTAAGATTCAGAAGGGATACGCACGACGAAATTAAAACATGTTGGCCAAAGTTTCCAAGTTGCGCGTTCTTGTAGGAACCTTTTTAAAGGGACTAGGCAAACCGGAAAGTTTTCTTCGGCAATTCTGTCATGCGCAAACAGCCTTTCGTGCGAAAGGAACGTGCGTATGAACAAGGTTTATTTGTTAGATTCCCCTCCCTACAGAACAAGTCGTGGTCTTTATTGAAAATACTTGCTTTTTGTCTTTACTTCCCATCTGCAGCCACTCACCAATGGTTTCGCGGACGACGGAGACTGGTCCGAGTCATCCGAGGAGGATCACCAAGGGCGCTACTCTCCCCTGGTTGCCTTGTCAATGAGTGGAACCAACGCAAAGCCTTCGACGGGAATTTCGCCGCCTCGGGCTCAGTCTCCCTTCAACAAAGCCTCTACTCCGTTGAATACAACGGGTGGTGCTCTGGGGACTTCCCTTAACGGTTCCTTCGCGCTTCAAGGTAGGAAGATTATTCTGTAATTCTTTGATTGCCATTCTTTAGTCCATAAATAATGGTAATAGGACTGAGTGGAGTCCAATTCGGTCTGTAATCATACGAGTGATTAACAAAATCGGACGACCGCGAAGCGGGAGTCCGATTTGTTAATCACGAGTTTGATTAAACCTAGAATTGGATTAATGTTCAGTGTTATCTTGTATAGGACAGCTAAGAAATCAGCCTATATATAAAATAAATGTCTGTGCAGAGCCTTCCTTCTTCCCATAAACCTTTTTCAGCGACTTTCTCAATCCTGCGTTTTACGTCAACGAGGTTGCTAACTGACGCGGCTTAAGTCTTTTGACTTAGTGACGATGTGCTCGTGCATTGTCTCTAAGATGAGAATAAAAACGGGCTTGTTTCGAGGCGTTTGGTAGCGCTCATGGAAAGCAAGAGTTGAGGCAATCGACAGGTAAGTTCTCGCACGCATTCCCCCCCACCACCTTAACAGTGTGGATCTGTGTTCTGAAACGTATTCATTGCACACTGGGGCCTGCTAAAAACGCCAGTATTACTCAATACATTTATTTTTCACTTGACGAGTTCTGTGGCGTACAGAGATTTGCCAGGAATCCGCGAATTGCGCGCGCGAGCTCTGAAGATCTGTTGCGTCATAACGACATTCTATGCGTCACAAAGGACAATGGAAGACTGTTTTGCATCGGTGTTTTGACTTTGTTTTTGTGCAGAAATCTGAAGTGAGGCCCTAGCCCTGTTTCATAACCTCTCACTTTTAATTTCCTTACATCGTCCATACAGTAATTGTTTTTTAAAACGTATATTCAATCTATATCAGACAGCCAAAGTTTCGCTCGACTTCAAGAGGCTCTTCGCGAGTCTAAACGACAAGTGGATAAACAGCGAGAGAGAATTGTGGCGCTGGAAACAAGCAGGAAACAAATGGAGGTCGACCTGTCTGAACTGCAAGAGTAAGAACTGACATGTTTTTAATATGCTTTTTAAACAATTTCGATTTGTTACTAATAGAGGGCTACTCCAAACAACTCTTTTTCCTTTCTGCCAATCAGATGCTGTATCAAAATCCCAAGTTTGTTTGTTTGTTTGCTTTGTTTGCCCATTATTTTCCGCAGTACTAATGACATGCTTTACTCTGTAGAAGTGTATCACAGCAGTCGGCGAATTTAAGGTTTTGACCGCGAGTTAACATAGAACGATCGGTTGCACGCCAACACAGCATAGCAGTGTCAATTTTCCGGAAAAAAAAAAGAAAAACCAAAACTGAGCTTAGAAAGGCACTTTACTATTTCTGTCTATATAGAGTTGATGACCTGCAAAAGTTTCTCATGTAAAAATCTTAAAGTCGACGAGGGAAATTGTCTTCACCGAAGCAACACAACAGTCTCCTTCGAGTCTTTCTAAGTCAATGATTGTTGCAATGGAATTAAAAGATTGTCTTGGTTTCTCTTTCATCAGAAAAGTTGAAGCTCTTACTAAAGAGAAGTCTGAGTCTGAGCGACTGAAGATGGAAGTGGAAGCTGCTTACAGGACACTGCAGTATAAACACGACCAGGAGAGTGAAGCACGACGGGTATCGGAAGCTCTTCTCACTCAGTTGAAGGAACAGATCACAAGATTGGAAGAAAAACTGGCGAAGTAGGTTCAAATACGAAGTTTTAGCTCTCGATGCCTTGTCTACTTGGCATTCTGTATCGGGGTTTTGTTGGAAGTTGTTCGCTATTTTCCGTCTTTTTCTGATTTTCTTGACTTGTGAATCGGGAACATTCGGTAAACTTTTCTCTCGAGATTTTCCCATTCGTTGGAGAGACCGCACAATTAGATAAACAAGCGTTCTTTTACCCTTTTCGGATTCTTGAAGCTTTTCCAAGACTTTCCTTCTATTAACTTTTACAACTGACATTTTCAGCTTAGGTTCTTGCAGCTTGAAAATCGAAAGCAATTTGTGTAACGTTTTGTAGTATTTTCAGTTCTCGTATTTTGTAATCGGAAGCAATCGGAGAGAACGGATAGTAACGTTGGCTACGCCATTCTCCGACTTTGTCCGATTTTACATGCTTCCAAGTTAAAAACAGTTAACTCGGCCAGATACATTAGCGAACTTTCGCTGGCGTGCTCATCCAGTGTTGTGAATATTCAAACTTATCAACTGCTCACTCGCAGTGTTTTTCATTTTTCTTCAGGGAACTTGAAAACCGTCAAAACGTTGAGGTCGAGAAACGCCAGCAGCAAACTGAAAATAAATCACTGAGAAACAATTTACAACAACTGGAATCTGATGTGCGAGACTTGAAAAGAGCTTTAGCTGAAGAACAAGAAGCTCGTGCGGTACAGAACCAGTTACTGGACGATGAAAAACGAAAGAACGAAGCCTTAGTTGAAGAGTCGCGTAATCATTCAATACAGAAGAGTGAAGCTCTTTACCAACTCGAAGCTGTGGATCAAACTCGTAGGAGTTACGAAGCCAGCAGTGGCTCGCTTAGAGAGGAGCTCAAAGCCGCACAGGTGAGAAACAAGTTTGAAGTATAAATTCTCCCCACTAAACAATTTGGTGGTACATCAAGAGGTCTCTGTTAGAATCCATTATCCAGGCTGTAAAAGATTGCTAAAGCTTGTTTTTATTTATTAGGTTGAGTTAGCCGATACCAAAGCTCGACTGGAGGCCACTAAAGCGTCCATGGGAAAAGAAATCACACTTTTGAAGGAGAAACTGCAGAAGAAAGCAGAGAAAGTTGTAGGTGATTTTCCTTGTATAAAGAGAGTATAGGCAAACCAACAAAGATGATTTAATGCCTGTCAGAATTCGTTTAGCACAGTTATTGGTAGACCATCCTTACTGAAACATTTTGGGCATAAAAATTACCTTGATACGTAAACACGAGTATCATTTTTAGATTATCTTATATTTCAATTCAACTGCCAGGGCTTTTCAAGTTGCAGTATTTTTTCCAGCAATACGCTGTACTAAACTTTCCCCTCTCCCTCCCCCCTCTTCTCATCCCTTCCCAAACAAACAGATTTAAGTCCTAAGGCTTCTTCGTAAGTTTAGCAGTAGATTACAAGCTCAAATTTTGTTAAGCGGGATCCAAGGAAACGCTGTCTTTTTGGAAGTGTTCCTCACAGGTGAGTCAGTGTTAAATTGCTGTTTTAACCTTACAGGCTAAAAGCGAAGAAGCCCTTCTCCAAACACGCGCGGACTTCGACTCACACGTGGCCAGCGGAAGGAATGAGCACGCGCAGATCAGCAGCAAGTTGGAAAGCGAGACACAGACGAGAACTCGCCTGGAGTCTGAAGTACGTCATGTAATTTAATGTGATGTGTATCGTTAACAATAAGGAAGCGGGACGACCTCATGAGAGATGGGAGTCCGCAGTTATGGCTCGGTTATGTTTTGTTTTGTTTGTTTGTTTTCTGTGTTGTTTTATTGTGATCTTGGACAAGACACTGTATTCTCACATTTCCTCTCTCTACTGGGTTGAAACGCACTTTCTTTTAGTTAGGTTTTGTCTCTGTATTGACAAGAATGGAACAAGACAAAACACTGACAGTCGAGCTTTTGTTTTCAGATTTCATCATTAAGATCGAGATTGGAGAAATCCGACAAAGAACTAGAAAGAGCCAGTGTCGGCAGAGTGGAAGCTGAAAGGTACAGAGCTTTCAAATCTTATAATAACCCCCGACCCCTTCCAAAGTTGGGAAGGTAGTATTTATCTGGTTTCTTCGCCTGCATTAATCCGTTATGAATGAACAATGAAGGGTTTTAAACCTGGCCATTTGTGTCTCTTACGTATTACTCGCCTCCTTCTGTAACTACGCAAGGAGTAGAACAGCACACTGTGGAATGAAGTTTATTATCATCGCCTCTGCCACCAGTGGTGCCCAAGGGATGTTGAAGCCCTAAGCCTTATGCAAACGGGAAATGCTTGGCAACTAAAGTCAAGTCAAGTCAAGTCACCTTTATTTAGGCAGGGTAGCCCCATCAGCCATGGGCTGGTATCAAAAGGGGCCCTGCGTAAAATTAAGACTACATGATAAAAAATTCAGACATTGTTTGGTGACCAAACATGAGTGGCCAAACGGTATCAAACATGTTTGATCACCGTCCATACGAGCAAACTGTTTTAAGCCAGTGTTTGATCAAATGTTTGTCGACGTTCAGATTTTACCAAACACGCGATCAAACAAGGTGTGCAAACGGCAAAATGTTCGGCCGCCAAACATTTCCCGTTTGGACAGAGCTTAAAGTAACTTGTGGTCTTTTTCTTGTGTTTTTCTAGACAAGCGCAAAATTTGCGCGATGAACTTTATCAGGCGAAGCTAAGACTTGAGAAAGAAACTGCTTCCCTGAAGGAGACAAACAAGGTACTGTGGTTAAATCGTATTGCTTATTCTCGAGCCTTCGTTTCTTTAAGTTGAGTCTCAGAGCGATTTCTCAATTTCTTACTCTATGAAGAGAAATTACTTGTTGTTTTAGTTCTGGTTTATTTTATTGCATTGTCTGTTGCCGCGTCGATCAGCAATCGTCAGTATTTTCCTTTTAAGTACTCGTCATTATTTATAGTAATGTTATTTATTGTTTTATATTTTTTCGATTTCAAAGGCTCTTATGGTGAAGCTGGAGACGGTTGAAAGCAAAGCAAGTAACCTTGATATCGAGGTAAGTAAACATTTACGGCGTCTTTGAGCATTTCATGTGTTAATTGATAAAGCATTGGAGATCACCGGAAAAAAATTTTCAGGGATGGGGGCATACTGGCGAGAACCGGGGAGTAAAGGAGACGGGAAGTCCACGGGATACTGGAAAAGAGAGGGCGGGAAACAGGATTCCCAAGGCGCCAGGAAAAACAGAACAAACCTCGCAACAATACTTAATATTTTCCGTGCAAAAAAGAGGCAAATAGGCGCAACGAATAAGGAAATGTGGGAACCGGGGGTAAAAGAGTTGGAACGTTCCCCCCCCCCTCCCCCCTCCCTTGTCATTGTCTCTCTGACCTGACTTGGCTTACCTTTCAGCTTCAAACTGCCAATGTCATTCTAACGGAACGAGGAAGTCAACTGAACATTGTACAGCGTGACACGGAGCATCAGAAGTCTCAATTCGAAAGACTACAGGAAAAAATACGCCTGGAAAAGGTAAGCGACAATGTCACGTCATGTCCAATGGTTTGGTCACGCTATCGAATCCAACTAGTCACGTAAGAGATTCTTAGCTTGATCGACTAACGAACAGCATTTCTCTTGACTCTTAAAATAACTTCTGTTCAAGCGGTCGAAATATCAGTCAACAACAACAGTGCTTTTCAAAATCATCCTGACCAAGACGATCACATTATACGAAGTATTGATGGGTAGACAATTTTCTACCATATTAAAGGTTTCTCCATAGCTTTCTTTTCATTTAAAAGGTTTTCTCCATATTTCTAAGCGAAGTAGAACTGTTACTTATCGACGATCATTTTTCACACTCGCGTGCCGCACGTGGAATGTTGTGCCCACCGAGTTACGTACAAGTCACTCCTGTTTAGCCTCATTTAAACGTTAACTACTTCAATATTACGATAGGGCTCTAGATCCGTACGACGTTGACGACATAATAAACTGGAGAACAATCTGTCCCAGGTGCAACATAGCGATGACTCTTCTGTGCCCGCCGCCGTGCTGTTTCTAGCAATTTGAACTTCTGTTTTGTTTCCTTTTAATTCCTCTTGTTTACATATGGGTAGCTTTAGTTTAAGTCTTATAAACGAGGGATCCACTGTAATTGGCTAGGGTCTAGTGGTCTCCCTGCCTAATAAATTTTGATGTATATAAGTATTTTATTTAGTCGAAGTTAAATAAATTTTGTTTCGTTTTTTAGGAGCAAAACTCTAGACTTACTGCTAAATTAGAAGGAAGTGACCTCAAGTAAGTCATTTATAACAGTGATAATAAGCATGTGTTAGATGATTAGCCCTGAATGTCAAAAAAACTGAGTACAACCCGAGCATTTCGGAAGAAGAGTCTCCTCGAAACTACACAAATTAAAGGTTAAATCATCCATTAAGCACTAACTCTGCAGTCCGTTAGACCATCCGTTTGCTAGTCCAGGCCGTGTATCAACTTTTGGGCTTTATGTGGAAGGAGATCTGCTAATTTTTGCAGTATTAAAAAGAGCCTTGAAATTGAAATTGAAACCTGAAAATAATACGTTATCAAGGTAGAAAAGCAACAAAGAGATATTAACAGACCAAAAAGGAATAAAGATGGTTAAGACTGGGAAAGACTGAGGTGGATTAAGAACGATAAACTTGGGAACATTTTGAGTTGGTTTTTGAAGAGGCTTGTTTCATTTCTGCGTTGTTTCAGAATTTCCAGCCTTCACAGTGATTGTGACTCGTTAAGAAGGCGATTAGAAGAAAGCACTGAAAAGTTGAGAAAGCAAGAGGAATCTGCTTTAAGATCAGAGGTGGGGTTTTAATTTTTATGAATTTATCCGCGTAAGTTGTGCAGTAGTTACTTGGCATTCTCGTTATATTCCCGTTTACGTTTGGACGTCATGTTAAAGCGGTTTTGGTTACTTCCAAAAGCAACTGTTTGGTGAGTCCTAATTGGTTTATACAACTCTTGCGACAGCCAACGCTTTCTGACCAATTGGAACGAAGATGGAATTTTGGTTGGCCAATCAGTTGCGAAAGCAAAATCAATCGTGGTTTAGCTCGTTTGACGTTTCCCGCGCTTTCCGCCAGCTGCATGTTTTCCCGCTTTTTTCACCACTCCCATGCATAAGTTCTTATTGGCTTTTTTCGCTTGTCGCAGCTTCAGTGATCTGCCCTTCGATAACGTGAGTTTGGTTTTACATTTTCGCGACAGCCACTTTAACATCACTGATGTTCTTTTTTCTGTTGTAGGAGAAATTCAACGCTTTGCTTGCTTCATCCAGAGCAGATTTTGAGAAGGTACGTCACATTTTTATCCTTCAATTCAGGGAACTTGTTTTCGTGAACATAGCGAAACGTTTTTTGCATTTTGTTTGGAAAACGTTTATGAGACTAGAACTGCTTCTGTCCCAAAATTGAGGGTTTTGGATTCCAACATTCCTAATTTGATTGGTCGGTGGCATTATATTGATTGTTTTCTTGACTTTTGGTTAGTCCAGTTTTGAAACCTTGCAAAGAAACCCATCGCAGTCCTAAACGTGCCTCGAACTTCGTCCTTGAAAAGGCACAAAGTAATTTATAGAGATTTCTCCCTAGTGTGACTGCTTCTTCCCATGTTTCTCAGAGTAAACACGTTATGCAAGAGAAACAAGAAACTCTCCTGGACACAATAAATAAACTCAAGTCGGACGTCGACAAGGGAAAAGAAAAAAGTGTACAACAGAAGGCTCAAATCAGAGATCTACAACAGGTTTGATTTTGCCTCTTTTCTTTCTTCCCTTTTTATGTCGTTTTTTCTTCTTTCTCTTTTTGGTAGTCTTCAATTGCTCATATATCTGTTTGTTTGGTTGTTCAGTTGTTTGTACGTTCGTTTACCAGTTCGTCGGTTTGCTATTTTTTATTTTTTTTATTTTTTGTTCTTCTTTGTTTATTAGTAAACTCATTTACTTGTTTGAGTTTCGTTTTTGATCCCCAGTCGCCCACTCAAACTGAAAAATGAAATAAAATAATTACGCGTGTTTTATTGCCTCGTTCCCAGTTCATGCCACAGACTGGTAATGAGGCAGATACTGAAAGGATAAGATAGCTATAGATCTCGTGTGTTGTTTCATCTTTCAGGAACTTAACGAAACATCCAAGAAACTTGTTCAATCTGAAACAGCTTTGGAGATGCAAACCAAGGTATTTTACATACTACCTTCTTACTTTTAACAGCCAGTGGGTAAAATCTGACTGAAAATACGAGAAGAAGGTTAGTCAAGTCTAACTCTCCCTTCCTGGCCGGGCAGATTAAGAAGAGTCCAGGGACTGGGCTTGAGAAAATTCAGCGCAAGTGTAGTCTCCATGTGTGCGCATAAAAAGTGCGCGATATATATACCTTTTGCTGTCAATTGGTTAGACGTATTGTAGTAATATTTCTGATTTTCTTTATCTTTGTTTTAGCTCCGTGAAGAGCTGGAGGACGAGCGATCTCAGTTGAGAAGCCAGTTAATTAATCTGGAAAATACAGTGAGTTAATTAAGTTTTTTTCTTATACTGTAGACATTCCTTTAGATTGTGTGATGTAACCACGCTTTCGGCCACTCTGTCGCTCTAAGATCAAAATGGAGTTCGATCACAAGCTCGTTGTCCAGATGTGATCGGGGCTCCTCTCCAAATCATTTTACTGACAGTGGTTTTTTCCGTGTCACTTTCTCGCTCTTTAGGTAGCAACAGTGGAAGCGACGCGAGGTGAGGTGACCGGCCACGCGATGAAACTCGAGGAGGAACTAAAACACACCAAACGAGTTCAAGGAGAGACCGCTGATCGGCTGGTCTCCAGAAGCGCGGACGTAGAATCTGTCACCCGATCCCTGGTAAGCTATTAAGTTTCTTACATAAGGGTAAAGAGGCATCTACAGTAGCTGTAGTAATTCCTGGAGTACAATTTTTTTCTTTCCTTAACGATTTTATTGATGCTTGAAGCTTCGTTATGCCAACTGATTAATTTTTAAATGTAATGGTGTAGTTCGGCCTTGTTTCAACATTCGCCATCACATAATTCACTGTTCGATATTTATTTGTTTACAAATAGTAGCAACATTTGTTGCTTTAAGAATACTGAAGCATAATATCAATAATAATTATAATAATCATTCTAAAATGTTATAAAAAGGTCGTGTTTGTGTGTTAAATTTGTTAATACTGTTTTATTCTCGCAGTCCCTAGAAGAGGATGGCGAAGAACCGGTAACGAAACAACTCATAACATGAACTCCATTTACAATCGTTTCCTGGGTTGTCACGCGACGCTTTTTGTCACGTTCAAATCAACGTGTCGTGACGCAGTGCGTGACAGGCCTGGAGAATGGCTGTAAGGGAGACTGATGTTTATGATATTAAACACGATAAACTTTCTTTCCAACTATAACTTCCGTTGTAAAGTTTTCGTTGGGTTATGATTTTTTCACGTAACGTTTACGTAACTTACTTCTTATTTAACTATAAAAAACGCAGTTCTAGAAATTTTTCACCACAGTTTTCAAGATATGGCTAACCTTTCCTACCAGAACAATTTGAACAATCAATTCTTAGCAGGAGGCAATTTAAAATAAAACAACTACGTTTAAATCAATTAACATTTGTCAATTTGTTCATCCTGATTTTGTTCGAAATTAAATAATATGATTTTGTGAATAAACTCTTTTCGGGTTTTAACCGACAGAGATCGTTTTCATTGTCTACATTTACGTCCAAAAATTTCTAATAGTTTTCTGCTAGTGTGCATAATAACACAGCTATCCAGAAACGAATATTATTTATTAAACTTTATATCGCGTGGGAAAAGCTTTTGGTTCGATTTAATTGTCCTCATTTTTCGTTAAAACTTTAGCAAAATCTAACAGGATGTAAAATGTAGTTATTTTCCTATTAACTTTCCGTCTTGCCATAAAATTATTAAACAATGTCTCTAAACCCAAACCGCCCGGAGCCTAAAATCTTAAAAAAGAGCAAAGACGTAATGCGTTTTAATTGTTTCATTTAAATGGGTTCCCTTTCTGACAGCTGATTGGTTATTGAAAATTAAGAAAGCTATTTAATGCTTTTACTCGGGTATTTAATAATTATAAAGCTGTTTAAGAATTCCTTTTTAACAACGCTTTGCTTATAACTGGCGACAGAAGGATATAATAACTTTAGTTCTGCTGTAGACAGGAGGTTATGAATCTTTCTGGCCCTGCAGAGTTATAAAGAAAAGATTTACGTGTAGTCTACTTTGTTATCGTCAACTTCGCCTAAAACTGCGTCAATTAAACACAAATATATTGCGACATTTAAAATGATCTGTTTAATTGAATCCGACGGTATATAAATTCCAAAATTTTCTTTTTTAACAAATACGAGGCACGGTTTGGACTGGTTAAGGTTAAAGCAAGCCGAAAGATTCATTGGATTTTGTATAAAGCAGAAAAATGCAGCAAAACAATTTGGTACAGTGCAAAGGGTTTTTGCGTATACATAATTTGTAGCAAGTTTAGGGGAATACGGTCATCAGTTTTTAACTCGGTTTTGAAAGCTCGGAAAGAGCGAGACGGATGTATCTTAGAAAATTCAGCAATAACGGTTTGATTTTTTAAACCAGCGGTGAAAAAATGGCAGAATCCCATTAGCAAGTGAGAACAGTTAACGATGAAAATCGATTACAGCTTGCCTAAAAAACGCCTTGAAAGGTAGAGGTTCGCGTTTTTGGCAAGTTTTCCAAAAACTCTCTTAGCGTCGATAAATTTTTTACAGCTTTGAGAAATGGCCGTGGCAGTTTTTCTTTAAAAAGTCTTAAGTTGAGCTCTGCTCTGGTATTTTCTCTTGATAATGCGATTTAATCTGTGCTGGAAGTTACTTACTTACAACCGTCCAAAACTACCTTTCTTTTCTCAGGCCCAGTTAGAAAAGATGGTGACAAAACTCAAAGTGGAGAAGGCCCAAGTGGAGGCGTCTTTGAGAGAAGAGGAGGCTAAATGTGGCATGCTGTTGAAAGAAGTCAAGGATGCAAACGAGGTGAGACCATCAGCTGCAAGTCTGCTGGGATCTTTTTCCGCCATCTTGAAAAACCATGACGCGGTTACAAAGCCCGAACGTTTCTTGGTAAAATTCACGCTATTGTTTCATCTTTCTAAGGAGTAAATTTGATTTTCTTGTTCGAGAATTAACATTCCCGGTTTGTGTTGGATAAGTTGTCACGTTGACATTTCACATATCTTCTTTTAAAAACAAGCCTTACGTGGAAAACGAAATTCATAAATTTTAAACTCAGCTTGGCTTTGTCGCTCAAGGCAACGAAAGCTAATCAGGGAAATGCTATACGAGATCAATTTATCAGGAAAAAAATTTACATATCACAGATGTCAAAGCCGGCTTCGTTGGTTAGGAGTCGGAAACTATGAAATAAAAGTAAAAGTTTTGACTGTGTATATATTTTTTGCGAGAGGTTGTAAGAATTTTTATGGTCTTGTATTGCTAGCTGTTATAGTGTTCTGTAACTGTTTGTATGCTTTTGTTTCGTGATTTGATTATCCTTTATGTTAATGTAGGAATAAAATTGTAGTCATTTTGGATAACAACAAATATAATCGCGTCGGTATTTGTTTTAAAATTATGATGTCACAGTTTATTCAAACTCGCTCGCTTCTCGCCATGTTGGGGGATCTAATCGCCGTCGTTTTGAAGTTATTTCCGTTAATTTGGTGAAAAAATCTGATTAGCAAAACTCCACTGGCTCACAAAGCGTTTTAGTATTTCCTGAACAACTTCAGTACATATTTTTTCAAGTGGTTTTGATCGAAAAGAAGCGACATCTTTCTCCAAACCTTCTTCACTATCACGAAAGTTTTGTTAATGGTAAGATCTATATGCGTTTGTTGTTTTATCTAGATGTAATGTTGCGTAGTATGTTTTTTAATGGTGTCGTGATTAATTATCAGTAAAAATGCATTGCCTTTTATCGCGGTTTTAAAATCCATTGTTCTCGGTGTTAAATTATGCATTTTAATTGCCTCTGCTACAATTTAAAACCAATCGTTAACCTTTATTTACCTTATTAAAAAATATCACGCGCGGATTTAGTTAGATACTAATATTTTAAAAGACTCTAGACGCGAGAAGATTCAATTGTGTTTCGTCGCTTTCAACAACACGAATAAGTAGCTAAGCGTGAGGCGTTTGATGACTGTGTCTGCTAAGAAGGGCCGTTTTCAAAAATAGTATGTCCATAAACGTCGACAGAACGGAAAAAATCCCAGAAAAATTTGATGATAACGTGGTCTTGTTCCTTTGCCGTGGGCAAGATCGCAAGAAAGTACGTTTCCGAAAACGCGACGCTGTCCCTAAATTCAAACATGAGGTACTTCAGATGCATTGTATTGTGTTTGTTAGATTTATTTCGCTTATGAATAGTAATTTTAAAGTTATGTCTACTGCATGTCTGACAATTCCAAGTGGAGAGATTCTGAAAATGAAAAAGAAGAGGTGAGCTCGGGAAAGAAAATATGAATAAATAAAAGAGAATTTTAGTGCTGTAATTGAGACGAGAAATAGTTGCCAAGTTCGTTTAAAATACCTTCTTTTTCAGGGATTTTTTACGTCTTGTTCCGTATTTTTCTTCTGTTAAGTTACTTAATTTGAAATTCTCCTCTCGAACTATCCAACTATTCTACTTTTTAGCGAGAAGTTATTTAAAGCTGAGGCTTGCGCTGTCGACGGAAGCCAAGGTCCAAGGTTGCTAACACAGATCAGACTAGTCACCAGTCTTTTTCTTTGCCCCACAGGCCCGGCAGAGCTTGGAGAAACTGTTATCTAATGTCAAGGGAGACTCTATAGAGTTAGAAAACAGATTACAGGTATAACAGAGTTAAGTCTGCTCCTCATTCTCTCTTTCTTGTAAACTGTCTTATACTCCACTCGTGTCTCCATCTCACCTCAACTAACAATGAAAAGGAACGTATGAAATTTGGCCTGGTGATCAAAAGCGTAACGTCCACAGTTTGAACATAAACTGCTAGTTTGCTTTTTCAGAGGTGGTAAACTCCAAGTTTTGAATTTTCGTAAGTGACTCCCTCACGGCTAGCGCGTTGGACCCTGGAGTTCTGGCTTGGTTCATTGTGTTGAGTTTCCGGGCAAGACACTTGCTCTCCAATGCCTCTATCTCCTGCCATCAGTGCTACTGGCTACAAATAGCGCAACGCGGCAAAATCCTAGCCGCTTAATGCTGCGTTACCTAGGATGAGCTTGAGTTTTAGGTCATTTTGGCCTGGTTTTATTTCATAATAATGCGTGTTCTTTTTCGTTTACCAGTCTGAGTCACTCACTCGAACTCAACACGAAAGAGAGGCTGAAGAGCATAAGGAATTATGGGAAGCAGAAGTACGGTCAAGAACAAAGTTGGGTGCTAAGGTACGGTATGTGTGTTTCACAAACACAGAAATTTGACGAGGTATTGAGTATGCATTGCGTACCTACTTTTTATTTTTTTTCGCTTGCGCGCTACATTCTTCATTCGTTAAAGGCTATAGACTGATAGCCGAAAGCTAATGTTTTTAATATATTTTTAACCAGAGAACGTTCTTATTCCAATATTTTATTTATTTATTTATTTATTTATTTATTTATTTATTTATTTATTTATTTATTTATTTATTTAGATTGCGGAAATGGAAAAGCGACTGGACGAAGCACGAACAGAAATGGACGAGGTACGTCGTCGAGAATACTCGAATTAATTCTTTTTTTTTTTTTTTTTCAATTTTTTACTTATTTTTTAGTCATTCATTTATTTATTTTTTTGGTGTTTTTGGTTGATATTTGTTTGTTCCAATGTAGGAAAAGCGTAAAACTCGTAAAGCACTGGAGATGAAGAAAGTGTTGGAAGCTAAGTTAGAGGCCAGCGACCAAAGGTGGGTTTAAGACGTTTTTTACAAAAAAAAAAAAAACCTTGAATAATTCCAGTCGGGGGAAATTAAGCGTTCTATTTTTGCCAGACAAGCTTAGAAGCGCTCAAAAGGATTTCAAACTCGTTTTGTCCAATCACTAAAGCACAAGCACTCGTGTCACGTGTTCTCACGTGACAAGTGATATATGCCATGTTGCTTAGCAACCTATGAAAGAAACTGCGGGCTCACTAGATTCTCGTAGGAGAGCTTTCCCCGCGCAGAAGATATATTTTCCTCTTACACACTGAATTCTCTTATCAAAATGAATTACGAATGAGTTGAAAAAAAAAACTGAATTGTGTTCTTCATAATTTTTAGATCATCTCAACATCAAAAAGATGTCGTTGCTCTTAAAACGCAGCTCAAGTCTTACAAACGACGTTTCAAGGTAAGCTGCTCAAGGTAGAAATAAAAATTTTCTTTACTTATTGCCATATATTTCTTTTAGTCTTCGTTGCGGGAATTTCGTTACATCGGGACAACATTACACGATGGAGACTTTTCTTCATTCTTTTATATGATTAACGTTGTTTTTCTATTCCAAAGAAAAATAGGAAAAACAGATTTTGGAAATTGTAAAAATTTTCACTTCCGAGGATAACAAGATATACATTTTTTACTATAGTAGTAGTAACTTGCTTGCCATTTTTGAATATTTTGAAGGAATACGAAGCCTCAGAGAGTCGGATTCCTTCTCTGCGAGTTGAGTTTGACAAGGAGCGTTCTGCCATGGAGTCACACATTACTTCCTTGCGAAGACAGGTTCGCTTTTTTAGTTTGTTTTTGTTGTTGTTTTTTTTTTTTGTTGTTATCTCAAGGTTGGTAAGGATTTGATTGGTTTGGCCTAAATGGCCATATTCCTATTTTTAGTTTATTTCGCCTCTTTCCTGTTTTTCTGTCTTAGTTTGGAGGTTTCCATGAATTTGAAGGTGATTTTGTAATTATGAAAACAATACTCTTGTTTCCGGTTCTAATCTAGTTTTTTTCTTTTTACCAGTTGGATAACTTGAGCGAGCGGCTTCACCAAGAATCAGAAAATCGTTCACGTGTGGAGCTTTCATCCAAACAACAGCAACAAGGTGATTCTATTAGCTTTTGCCGCCTTACTGAAAGGAGCTACGTCACGTTTTGCTCATTTTGAAAAGTTTAATCTAAATTTTTCAGGTTTGTCGTTTGTAATCCGTGTTAATCTTCTCCATCCTTAACCATCCTTGTTCCTTTATGGTTTATTATTATCGCCTTGCTGTTTTTCCATCTTAGTAAACAACTATTTTCAGGTTTCCTTCAATTTAAAAGTAATGTTACATACGTGGCCAAAATAATGTGCCTGTTATGGCATGGATACCGTTTGCTCATCTTCGTCCTCCTTTAGTGGGACCTTAAGAACAATTTGTTTGTCAGAGTTTTAAGTTTAATTGAGGTTATGTCTTTGATCCTTTATTTTGCTTTAATTTGCTTTCTACAGAGCTATCAGCAGCGAAACAACACGAAAAGGTAAGTATTTAATCTCTTCATTCGCTGTGGAGCGTGAAATGCTCTTAGAAGTTGGCTATATGACGCAACTTGTGAATTCGTTATGCTTTGAATTCGACAATCTCTTACCACTAAGACTAGTTTTAAGTATCTTGTTTGCTGTTTCCTGGAAGGAGACAAGGAACTAAGAGAACCGGTAACGAGTACTTCACCGCGTTGATTTTAAAGAGCTTTCATTACTTTCCAAGACTGCTTGTCATGCTACTGTTTGTTCCAGTTCTGTATACCACGCATGATCTGTTCTAGATCTGTTCTCCAGTAATTACACCTTTGGTAGAAATTTTTTTTACTTTTCCAAATCGTGCTCCACTGACGCTTACACTTATACATATCCAGTCTGAAAACCAGCAAAGATCTTTATGTTTAAACAATTTGTCGATTTGTTGATTTTAGCGCCTTCTCTTCGACCAAGAACGTCTTGAACAGACCAACAGACAACTAGAGGAAGAAGTCGGAAGACTCAAGGTAAATGGCGATCATGATCATTGCAAACATCGCCTTTTGTTTTCTTGTCATGTAGAAGAGCATTTGTCCAAGGTCGCTAGTTATTTAGCTACTCTGTTGGTCGACGCCTTTATAGCCGTTATTTGGTTTGTCACCGCGGCAACGACACTTTTCTCTGAGGACAAGTGTTGTCTCGAGACGCGCTAGAGTGTTCAGGAGACCCTCATAGTTGTCTGCAGTAGCGTATCTTGGGGAAGGGCTCAGCTCCAAACCCTTTCCTGCCACCCGCGTGCCGACGAAAATAGGTCTGGTCCGAGTTAGCGAGACCGTCAGGTATTTGTAAAGAGTGGTGGGAGGGAGCGGGGAGGCTTAAGTACAATCGGTAAAGAAGATTGCTATGTTGAGCTATCCCAGCTTAACATAGTTTCAGGTTCCAGGACGATTTGCTCGTTTTTCCGCAGCTTGGAAACCTAGAACAGACCGATTCTATGTAATCATATGTAAGTGTCTTCACTGATAAAGAGTGCCCCCTAATCGTTTCACTCTACTGTTTCAGGCCTTCTACGAAAATAATTTTGTGGAGAAAGGACAGCTGGAAGCTTACAAGCAAGAACTCGAAGCTAAGGTTTGTAGGCATGATTTCGCTTAACATGAAGGTGTTTCTTAGAGCAACGACGAAATTTAGAGGAATCCAAAACCTACAACAATAAGTTAGCAGTCGGTTGTGCTATGTTGTTGTCTAATGACCACCGTTCTTTCTTCTTCGACAGTCTCGGTTTGAACTAAATCGTAAACTAGAGGAAGTAAATGCTCATTTGGAAGAGCAGGTGAGACATGGCAAAGAATTTTCTATTGGTGTTCTTGAATGAAGGTACACGTTTTCGTAAACAGAGATTCTTTCTTGTAACATGAGTTTCTATTTCCGTCCTGAGCTCGTTAAGGATTCTTGTCTTGCGTCGAGTACTGTTCTGCAAAATCCCACTGTTACTATTGGACTTCCTGTGATGCACAGAAGTCTTTGTACTTTTGAAAATCACCTGTGTCGTAGTGTATCTATATATTAAATTCATTATTGCAATTCTCCGCAGGCCGTTGCCCGAGAGAAATTAGACAAAATGCGCGAAGCAAACGAATCAAAGACAAGAAAAGAATTGGAGATGACTATAGCAGACCTCAAGGTGAGCAGTATTTCTCCTGTCAAACTACGCAGCAAAGGCGAGAATGCCAAAGGCGAGAAAACAACGTATATCCAGTGGTAAACGGGAAAACGTAACCGCTGGCTAAAGCGGAAAACATGTAACGGATGCCAAAGGCGAAAACGGTATTCATTAAACCCTTTCGCTCCCAGTGGAGCACAGGTCCACGGAAACCATTGCTCGCCATCTTGGTCTGTTTTGGGCTATCCTTTCAAGCTGCCACCAGGTGTAGCCTGCTTTGATCGCCTCGTCATCTAACGTCCTCCTCCAGCTGTTTCTGGGACGGCCTCGGCTCCTCTTCCACTGTGGGTTCCATCTCAGTGCCTGCTTGGTGACATAGCAGTTAGTTTTCCTGAGGGTGTGCCCAATCCAACCCTACTTTCGCCTTCTTATCGGAATGTTGATCCTTTCCTGCTCAGTTGTTGTCCATAGTTCTTCATTACAATACATCTTCGGTATTAGTGG